AATCTGATAATCTCTCCTGGAGCGCGGCACGAGTCCTGCTCCGCTTGTTTTGTTACCCGAGCTCGACAGAAAATGTTGGAGGGAGACTGAGTGTCTGTCGGTCTCCTCTGGAAATGTGGACTGAGGGTCTGTGGCGGGGCTGCTATGTCTCTCCTGCCTCCTCCCCTGCCTGCCTCCCTCCCTCCCTCCTCTGGTTCATCCGATCCACGCAGAGCGCAGCGCGCTGCGCCACCGGGCGGCCGGCTGCAGCAGCATCCACCCTGATAATACCTGTATAATAACATCTGTTTATGAGCTGCTGTGGTGGAACGAGCACATATCCACTCAAGATTAAAACTTTATGGCACTTAACTCCATTTCTTTTAAAGCTGTAGTCAATAGTTTTTACTACTTTTTGTATTTGAACAGTTCTTCATGTTGCTTTGTTTGGATATTACTTATTTTCCTAATAACCTTAATGCCACATGCACAATTGTGTAGACTATAAAAGTGAGCACTGATTGCACTGATGTAATGCATGTGAAACATATTTGTTCAATAAAAAGATGTTGATGTGATAAGATTGTGCATTGTACTGGATTAAACTACCCAACAGTTCATAATGTAGTTAAATAAGCTCGACCTCAGCCTCTTTCTCACCCATTAATGTAAAATATAAACTATATATGTTTTACATAACACAAGGAAAAGTGGTCTAAAAATACTCCATTACAAGTAAAAGTTCATTATTCAAAGTGTGTAAAAGTATCATCAGTACTATGTATAAAAAGTTGCAGTAAAAATGCCCTATAGTGAGTGGAAGGTATATAAGTATGTGTTTTATTATTACTTATAGACTGTTGAAATCATTAGAGATCTGTGCTGATTACAGTGCATCATATTTAGGAAAATTATGTTTTATTTGTAAAATCTAGCATTTATATATAATATAGCTGCCAAACAAATGAAGTGGTATAAGAGGTACATTGTTTCTTTCTGAAATGTACTGCAGTTGAAGTTCAGTAACACCACAAGTTAATTATGACAGCAGGTCTCAAATGTATATACCACATATAAAATCACAAAGGGTGCTGTTGTGTCAATGGATTTTCAATTTCAGTGTGAAACTTTGCTTTTTTAGAAAGATTTTGAAAAAGATTTGACACAAAAAACATTAAATCACCGTATTCAAGGCATCAACTAATCAATATCACTTACTGGTGGATTATTTCAATAGATCATTTAACCTATAAAATTAAAAAAAAAGGCAGTGAAAAAGAGTCCAAGGTGGCGTCTTCTCAAAGATATTCAGTGAAGCAGAAACTCTTAACACTGGAGGAGCTTTTACTTTTGATGCTTTAAATGTATTTTACTGTTAATATTTTTGTACTTTTATCATGTAACATTATGAATGCAGGACTTTCACTCAGTAGTCATAATGTGGTTATTCTGAATACTTCTCCCACCACTGCAAAGACGACAAAGACAAGCAGATGATAATGTGTCCAGCAGCTCTTAAAGTTAGTTAGTTTCATTTATTATCCTTTGGAGAATTTCCCTTAGGCAGCTAGGAGACAAATACAACAACAGTATGTTACAGTTAAAGACATTACAGACATTTAACAGCAGAGTGCTCCACAACAACACCACGAACAGCAAAGCACAACAAATGCAAATCACAAGGATATATCATCGTATCATAGCACAAGGGTTTGTTTGACAGAGGTAAGGTACCCCGAGGGAACTCCTGCTTGTTTTTATTTTGGTTTCCTTCAGAAAGAAACCCATTTGATACTTGTTATCTATGTGAATTGGGCTTTTCTTCTTTTGCTGTACACACAAAAATATTCTTTATTTTTATGTGGAGAAAGACTGAGCAAATGATCCAACAAGAGAAAAACAATTTCTTTGTTTGAAGGCAATGTGATCAAAAAAAGACTTAATTTTCTGTGTCCAATTGGCTGTATTAATAGAGCAATTCCAACACACACCACACCATCAGCCTTTTGTGATTTGATTATGTTGTTCCCAACTCATTTCTTTTCTTTCCAGATTCTCATTTGTATTTCTCTCTGATGGCTTATTGAAAAGAAAACATCATGTAAATGTTATCTTTGCTTCAGGCAGGGCACTCGCAGTGGTTATTAATTTTTGAAACATCAGCTGTTAGACGTGTTAGAATGAGTTCAATTTGCACATGTTAAGTTTAATCTTGGGACGTGTCAGTTTGATCCCAGGATGCCTCGGTAAAAACACTTCTGGAAAAAGAATTAACCTTTTCATTATAGCTTCCCAGGTAACAGAGGTCAAGAGAATAGGTCAAAATTGTTCAATCGACTTTTCTTAACAAGGAATGTGACTAGAATGTGTTGCTCGTTTTTATTTATTTAGTTTATTTGAAGGTGTCCAACATCATTTTACTCTCAATAGAGCCTCGATTCATCCCAAACAATCATAATGTGATAAGTGCAGTACACTACACTGTAATATAATAAGGGTGCTCTACTCTCAGAAGGTTTTCTGACTTTCTAAATAACCTTTTCTTCTAGATTTTATCATACCCTATCTCAAAACTTTCATCATGTACAAAGTATAAGACATCATACGTTCATAGATTTAGCCCAGGCGTCTCCAGAGAGGGGGGGCCTGGGGTGTTTGCTATCCCATCATCTTTACGTCTTCTACTCCCACTGTCTTACAGAGGCTGTAGCAGAGGCTCCGTTTTAAAGCTTGAGTATAGATACTTCATTTCACCATAGTCCAGAAAGTCTGAACTTGAAATCTAGTCATTATCAATGCATTAAACTCACAGCGAGCTCTAAAAATCCAACGATATCCATTAGATTTCCCCAAATGAATCCTCACAAAGGTGCAAACAGAGGTTCCCCAGAGCATTAACAGGCAGGAAACTATAGGAAGTGATTAAATTTGGACACAAACACATTCTTTGACCTCCTTCGGTTCTGCTTCAGGATGTTTATCTGATAATAAGACTGAAGAGCAACTTGTGCTTCATTTTTAACTTTCATATTTGAATCACAGAAACAAAGCTACAGCTAAAACTACAGGAGCTGAACCGCTGTGTGTTTAGTGGTCATGAATTCACGAGGGAGCTTGTCTACATTATGACTCAATTTTATTTTCAATATGAGGTCTAACCAGACCACAACAGGCAACAGCACGTACTCTATATGCTCTCACACATTCTCATTTAGCTACAAACATTTAGATTTTCTTTGTGGAGTTTGTAGTTAATCATGACTGTTATCAACTAGTATCCCTCCGGAGTATTCAGTGTGTCTGCCTTAAAGGGATAGTTTGGATTTATTGGAGCAGGGTTGTATGAAGTACTTATCCATAGTCAATTGGCACGTCCCCAGATTGGAGGAGCATTCATTAGTACTTATAAGCTAAGCAATGTGTTGCTGTGGAGCAATAACATTTACATTTCAACATGTAGATGTGGCGGTGTTGGACTAAAACAGTGTTCTGTAACTTTAATCAATACTCATACATCAGCAATATATAGGCCTTCGTCTGTCTCCTCCACGTTCCTTGAAATTATTCACATTTGAAAGTATAGAAATAAGAAATTTAATGCGCAGTTCCTTGTTGTGGTCACTCGAGGGCGATAAATAATGTCCCCATCCTTATATATAATTATATAATACATTATAATACTGTACTTATACATCCTTATATATACGATCAATGGTCCCGTTGAACATGAAGGGAGCCGGGTTCTCACTTATCCTGCAGCCAGCCACCAGGGGGCGATTGAGATGTTTTCACTTTACTTACCTCTTTATATACAGTCAGAGCCACTGAGATATAATCATTGACAGTATATATAATATACTAGAGGATATAATGGACTAAATCTACTTGAAACATCATCTCTGTCTTGAAAGAAACAACCTAAACCTAAACCGTTGGGACTTGATGATGAGAGTCTCTCTTTAAGTCTATTATTTTATTGTAAGGCTGTTAATAAATGGCATCACATGGTACAGAGCTTTAAATTGTTAGATTGGAAAGTTAAAAACAATTATTTATCCATATTGTTACCTCTAAAGAATATAAATAATCAGTTTTACGTTATTTTTTCTATTTACATGCAAAAATGTGAACTCAACTGTTATCATATTTATTAAACATAGCTATTTTACTATATATTTATTATATCTTGCTTGTTTTACAGTTGCTTTCTCATATATATTGTCAATGCATGCTTCTTGTTATTTATTTATTATATATCCCCTTTGCTGCTGTAGACTAATAAAGGGACATCTTATATTACTTTCTTTTTTCACAAAAAAAAAAATAGATTTATTAATACATTACAGCATAAAGCAAATAACCTCTTTGGACCACAGGTTTAATTTAATTGGACGACTTCTGTGTGCAATTTTCTGATTGGCTGTCCTAAAAATTGATCATCTAATTTAAACCACAACCAATAAACACGTGGGGCCGTAACATTATTAACTGCTTCACCATTTCAATATGTAACCCCGACGTGTATATAATAAAAAATATTTCGCGGAGACAGTGTTTAAAAAATATAATTATGTCCCTTTTTTTCTCCAAAGTAAACAACCACCAATCAGGAGCCACGTCCGTGCGTGTTGCTAGGCAGATTATGTTAATATATGCAATGCAGCCATCTCTGCAGCTACCATTCTGAGGTAAGAACAACTTCCACGCTTTCGACAAAATGTAAGAAAACTAGGAATTGCCCCACGGCCACTTCTGTCGCTCGACTGCTAGACAATCTTTCTGTTGATTTAAATTAAATGTGCGGGTTGTTTTGGCGCCTTTGCGCCGGCAGGAAATGTTTATTTTCTCCTCTCGGTCTCTTCGTATGTGGCTGTTGTTGTTAGTCCCACCCAAAATGGAGCCTGTTCTTCCTTGTTCCAACGGTTGACTTGAAGGGCTGGGCTCAACTAGAACGGGGGGACGGGTGGGTCTACCTTAAATAATTCGGGATTTTACGGGTTCAAAACCACCTTTGGTAAAAATCGCCGATTGTGGTCCACGTCCTGAAGCACGACAAGTTATGTTTGGCTCCAAGGTCGGCCTTACATTGGGACTATATGGCCGTAATGCTAATGTCGCGGTGCAGTAAATGCCCGGGTTTCTATAGCGCTGGTTTTTGTGGTATGGTCCAGTTGGGACTGAGAACCTGCGGGGTTAAAATAGGGGGGAATTGTATTTATTATTGATTATACCAAGTACATTTCTGAATGAGTTCAGAGAGTCGTGATCTTTAACGGTGGTTTTTGTGCCGGGATACGGTTGTATTTAGACACCGTTTTGTGGGCGGCCTCGGGACCAAACGTTGACCGCGTTTTCCCACGTAACCCCCGCTGAGAGTCTTGTGCTGTGACCGCTCTTGTACACCAAGTGACATGCTGGTTTATTTTGGCTTGCATGATCCTGTCAGGGCTGTCAAAAAAAAAAAAAAAAAAAAAAAAACAGTGTCTGGAGACCTACAATCTCTGTGTTTTGGTCGATTTGAGTGCAACTTTGCTGAGAAATGGCTGCTGCAGTGCTTTTATTGTTGCAGCTTTTTCCCCACACAGGCGTGTCTAGTGCATAATATGACTTTGATAAAGCTTTGACAGCAGAGGCTCAATCATCCATTCATGAGATACACATTGTTTATAATATACAGGCAGATGGTGCACCAAAATATGGTATTTGCCGCTTAGATATCGTCACCATGTTTCATTATTATTGTTATTATTATTATTCATATTATTATTATTGAACTCAACCCCAATCCTCTTGTCTGTGTGCGTTACAGGCGTCCCTGGCTGTCTCCAGAGTGAAGTGATAGGCGACGTGGTTGGTGACAGGCCTGGCACCGTGCTGCCATGGAGACCAAGCAGGAACCCTCCGCTGTGTGGAGTCAGACTGCTACCAGTGATTCAGGCAACGGCACACAGGTCCGCCATCCTGTCTGAACTGTCCCCCGAACTGCAATATATCACAGTCATAAGCAATAGAAGAAGGATGCCGCACATTTGATACGTCAAAGGACGATTTAAGCATCTCACGATATGTCTTTCAAAACACTCTTTTGTCACTTTTGTCAAACATTCACATGTATAGTTAGGCTGGTTTTCCAAGTTTCTCTCACACCATCCGTCAACTCTCGCATATATTTTGTGTAGTTGTGCTTTTTTTTGAAAGCGTGAACTGTTGCTGCAGGTGGTTCAAAGCCTTTTTTGTCTTGTTGCAGGTACATTTCGAAGGCGGCACAGTGGCCCAGATAGTGTACAGTGGAGATCAGGCGGACCGGGGACAGCAGCAGGTGGTTTATACAGCAGACGGGAACTCCTATACCTCTGTAGAGTCTGCAGAGCACACGCTGGTTTACATACACCCTGCAGATGGCACTCAGGTAAGAGGGGGGATCTTATTTAGAGTAGAGATATTTTTAGGTTTTTTATTTAGATGACACTCATAACTCTGGTCAGTGTTGTGTTCAAGGACGCTGTAGCAAGGCACATGGTTTTGTGTTGAAGCTAAGACCCCCCGCGGTCCTTCTTGACCGCCTATGTGGAACATTTTACAAATAAAACAGTATTAACCATTGCAGGAGTTGTATATATTTTTACTTGTTTCAAATGTACGAAATATATAAAATTCCTAACATACACTTTGGCCTGCAGCATTTGCTCACAGCACCGGGTTTAACTTTTCTTTCAGACTGTATTTGCGGATCAGCCGCAAGTAGCGTACATTCAGCAAGATGGAACAACACAACAGGTACGTTTACCTGGTCCTGTCATGTCATTACCTAGCTGTAGCTGTAGCTGTAGCTGAACCAATGTAATCTCAATTGTAGGTCACAGTCCTGCTGCCCAGTGGACAGAACATGAATGCTGCCAACCTGCATGTTCTCAGTAATGTCGCAGAGGCTCCCCAAGCCATCCTGGAGCCAGTTTCCCAGGTGAGGACACATTGTGCTGTTTACCTTTCCGAACTAGGACACGGTGTTTGTCTAGAACATGAGCACAGATTACTTCATGTACTTGCATTGTTATTTTGTTGTCTAAAACTAAGTTGTCTAACTTGGTGCAGTTTGTATGTGAGATACATTGAGATATTCACATTGCAGATATAGTATAATGATTTACAAAAAAAATCTCATCAAATTAATGTTTCTTTTTCTTTACTATAAAATTAGTTTTTACAAGCTCAAAAGCATTAAAAAATAACCAGTATCTAGGATCCAGAGATGCATTTATTTTCCTTTTTATATGGATTTCTGTTGCATTGTTACATGTGAACAAACCAAGCCTGTAGATGAGAACTTGTCAGTGTTTCCCACGAGGATAAACAGAACAGTTGAGTGAGTATTAACTCTGTCAAATGATCAAACGCACACAGGAGCAGCTGTCTGCGTCCAATTCGCTTCCCTCCATGGCTGACATGGCAGACCCCCCCACCAGCCCCCTCGGGGCCACAGACTCCACAGACGATTCTGACGAAGATGAGGATGAAGACTCAGAGATGGATGACTGGGAACCTCGCGAGCCTCAGTCGTTCAACCCTCACAACCTCTGTGAGTGACGTTCTCCACAGTCGTAACACAGTCTGTCAGGAGTCTTAATCGCTCATGTAGACAGCAGACAGATGTTGAGCAATGAGTCTCTTTCTGTGTCTCAGCTCACTGACTCAGCATTGACCTGATTTTTGCTGCATTTCTTATAGACAAAACACACACACACACGCACACACATAATAACACAACATGAAGTTGTAATATAGATATTTAAAAAAAACAAAAAAACAAAGATACATAAAAGATACTGCTGACTTTTGGCTGACGTTCTGATCTAATTCTGCACTACAGAGATGTTGTTGTTTTTCTTGATAAGCAGTTTAATCAAAATAGTGACAGTGTGTCAGGGTAAATTAATATATTGTTAATGGAAATCAGCTAGTCTGTTGTTATTCCAAGCTACTTATTCTATTTTTATACATTCAATATTAATTTAGAAATTATTAATTAAAATCACATAATGTCTCTTATGTTATCTGTATGACACATTTTAAGTAGAACAACAGCACAAAGTAGGGCAAAGTGAAAAAGACCATAGAGCGAAATCAACAATTCTGTGACACCTTTTGAACAATAAAAAGCTTCATAGTGGTAGTATTTGTTGCAGAGCTTTTGTATTGGATTGTGCAGGTTTTCTATAGCAAGTTCACAATTTGACCACATCAACTTTCTACATGTGTTGTGGTGATTCTGTCTTATTGATTTCTCCCTTTTGTGGCCTCTCAGGGTGTGAGGAGTGTAATAATGCCAACCCCTCTGTGTGTCTGAAGCACGGCCCCCTGCACCCCATCCCCAACCGGCCGGTGATGTCCAAGGCCCGGGCCAGTCTGCCGCTGGTCCTCTACATCGATCGCTTCCTGGGCGGGGTGTTCTCCAAGAGACGCATCCCAAAGCGCACACAGTTTGGTCCTGTGGAGGGACCCCTGGTTCCTCAGAGTGAACTGCAGGAACACTACATTCATCTGAAAGTAAATCAGTGCTCTGCATGGCTAGTTTCTATGTGATTGCTATCGAGCTCTCTGTCGTTGTGCAGTTTTGAGTTTGGCCTAGAGCTGCATTGAATAAAAGTACACACATCTTCTGTATTGAGAGGAGTCTCACATTTTACGTTAAAGTCTGTTTTATAGGAAAGTGATGGTTGAAGAAGAAACATAAGTTGTGTGTGTGCAAGCATGTGCAGTCCAGTTTCACTCTTTTAATTGATCTCTAATCAGTTTTTCTTGCTCTTAGCTGTGCATGCTGGATGCAGAGAAAGATGGAGACAAGTCTAACGACATGTGGTTGGACCTTTCCGATGAAGAAAGCTGTAACTGGATGATGTTTGTAAGACCTGCTCAGAACCACCTGGAGCAGAACCTGGTGGCCTATCAGTACGGCTCAGAGATATTTTACGCCACCATCAAGAACATCCAACCAAAACAAGAGCTCAAGGTCAGTCCTGTGTAGTTTGTGTGCTGTGTTGTGTATCGTATGTGGAAGGAGAGTGAACCGGTAAATAAAGGACATCTGAATAAACTGTAGTCATTTGTGTTTTTAATGATATTTCCTTCTGCAGGTGTGGTATGCAGCATCATATGCAGAGTTTGTCAATCAGAAGATCCATGATGTTACGGAAGAAGAGAGAAAAGGTGAGGCTTATTATGTTTATACCATTACAAACTAACAGTAGTAGGGGTGAGTAGTTGTGGCTGTTCCTGGGCCTCACTTTCTGTTGTTCCTTCAGTGCTCCGGGACCAAGAGAAGAACTGGCCTTGTTATGAGTGTAACCGGCGCTTTGTGAGCTCTGAACAACTGCAGCAACATCTCAACATGCACGACGACAAGTTGAACTCTGTCACCAGGTAAAACCATGTTTTATATTTTCTTTCATTTCTACCACATTAGAGCTCATATGACCTGTTCGTGGTTCCTTTACTCTCTCAGATCCAAAGGACGCGGTCGAGGAAGAGGCAGAAGGAGATTTGGGACAGGAAGAAGACCGGGACGTCCTCCCAAATTTATACGTTTGGATCCCCCAGTAGACGCCGGAGGTGACAAGACGACAGTAAGGGACACATTAATACGTGCTGCGTTGATTTATCGATTGAATTTGACACAATTTCGCACATTTTCTCATCAGGCGAAATGATTATCTGAAAAGTTACACAATACACAATCATTGTTGGTAGTTCCAGCTCTAGTGCATGCAGTATTAGATTCACCATAAAACAATAAATGGAAAAATTATTTATACAGTTATTCAAGAGCAAAGTAATAACAAAGAAGCAAATGTTTCTGTCAAAATATTCACGAGGGTTGTCAAATACATTGAATCATAAAATGAGCAGCACAAGATTAAAATGGGCTGCTGACAGATAACATAAAAGCAAATCTGAAAGTGTTTTTGAAACTGAATTACCTGAGCCAATAACAACATTCCTTTTCAATTTCCAATTCCCTTTTTAATCAGGAGATGCTGGAATTGACGGAGAAGCCGCTGGAGGAGCGAGTGGAGGGAGCTCAGAACGGGTTGAAGGTGGTGGAGATGGAGCCGGAAGTGGAGGCTGTGACTGAGCCAGAGGGCCAGCTCATACCCCCTGCAGGGGAACCGGTCCCAGAGCCCATCACCCCCCCATCCAATACAGACCTGTCAGTTCCACTAAAGGAAGACCCGGCACAGAGCAGCCAATCAGACGCCCACCTCACATCTCAGGATATGCGCCGTGCCAAGAGGATACGGGTAAGACTGGAGCCTCTGTGTGTTCACTGAAATATAACGGTGTTTGTTATTTGGTGTCATAATGATTTGCTTTACAACAGTATGTCTCTTTTCCTCAATGCGTGCTTCCCTCAAAGATGGATGTGCCGGTAGGTGGGATGGCAGAAAAACATGAGGTTCAAAGATTCCTTTTGTCATTTTCCATAGTGTTAGGATAATGCTCCCTCCTACACACTCCACTGCATCCATCAGCCTCTTCCCATGTCTCAGCAGATCCATGTCAACAACCCTGTTGGCGTTTTCTGTTAATACTTCCTCTCTTTCTCTTTTCCATCTCAGAATGCAGCGCTGCAGCACCTCTTCATCAGGAAGAGTTTCCGTCCATTCAAATGCACCCACTGCGGCAAGGCCTTCCGGGACAAAGACAAGCTGGATCAGCACCTGAGGGTCCACGGCCGCGACGCCTACGCCTTTTCCTGCCACATTTGCAGCAAGAGCTTCATGAGCGACTCGGCCCTGGAGGACCATCTGGTGGTGCACACGGAGAACCGCTCCTACTCTTGTCTCTTATGCCCAGAAACTTTTGAAAGGCTGGATCTGCTCAAAGACCACGTAGGAGTGCATGCTGTGGACGGCTGCTACACCTGTCCTTCCTGCAAGAAGACATTTACTGACTTCATCCAGGTTAGTAATAAGTGTCTTACAGGCTGATACAGTGATTTTAGAACAGGGTTTGTCAGATCTGACAGGAAGTGAATTGTCAAAACCATTTTTAGATGTTTAAAAACACAAAATTCAGAAATCTCACAGGTTATCTATGTACTCACCACAATGAAGGCAGTGTAGCCAGAAGCATTTAAAATAGCCTGGTTTAAAATAGTAAATTAACACATTTACTTTCTCTTACTCAGGTGAAGAAGCATATCCGCTGCTTCCATTCAGAGAAGGTCTTCCAGTGTTCAGACTGTGAAAAGGCCTTCTGTCGGCCGGACAAACTGCGTTTGCACATGTTGCGCCACTCTGACCGCAAGGACTTCCTGTGCTCAACATGTGGCAAACAATTCAAGGTAAGCTGAAGAAAGGGAGAATTTAGAGATAACAGCTGGCAGTGTTAGTTTATAGATATGTGAGTTCTGATGTGACAATGCTTTTCCTTTTGTGACGTTAAGAGGAAAGATAAGCTGCGGGAGCACATGCAGCGCATGCACAATCCTGACAGAGAGGCCAAGAAGGCTGACCGAATCCACCGCTCAAAAACCCTCAAGCTGAAGGTGCCCACCACCGACTTTGAGAGCTTCATGTTCAAATGCAGAGTGTGCATGATGGGATTCAGACGCAGAGGAATGCTGGTGAGCAAAAAAACTCACAAAAAGCTTTTTATTTGTTGATTTTGCGTTCAAGTACACTGAAAGTGAAATTTCTGGTTCTTTTTCTGGTTACAGGTCAATCATTTGTCCAAACGTCATCCAGACATGCGTATTGATGATGTGCCTGAGCTAACGCTGCCAATTATCAAGCCCAACAGGGACTACTTCTGCCAGTATTGTGACAAGGTTTGTTTTCCTCATCCTGCCATGTGCACAGTGAAATTTGGAAAAGACATGTCATTATTATTATTATTATTATTATTATTATTATTTTATAAAGTTCATTCCTTAAATCAAACATGCAAACCTGTACTTCCCCTCAAACTCTGAACACGAGCGTTCAGCATGATATTAGTGAATCGTTCTGATGGAATGATTTCTGTGCAGGTGTATAAGAGTGCCAGTAAGAGGAAAGCCCACATACTGAAGAACCACCCCGGGGCAGAATTGCCTCCCAGCATCCGTAAGTTGCGTCCAGCTGCTCCTGGTGAGCCAGACCCCATGTTGAGCACACACACCCAGCTCACTGGCACCATCGCCACTTCACCAGTCTGTTGCCCACACTGTGCCAAACAGTACAGCAGCAAGGTTAGTATGAAGCAAAGAAGATATTTGACCGTTTTATAGGAAATCTGCATAAACATTTATACAGAGATGGACTAATAATTTACAATTCCATGCTGTGTCTGGGACTCCAAATGCTAACTTTCTGTGTGTTTGTATCTCAGACTAAGATGGTTCAGCACATCAGGAAGAAGCATCCAGAATTTGCTCAACTTGCCAACACCATCCAGACTCCTCTGACTACAGCTGTCATCAGTAGTGCTCCTGCAGTCATTAGTGCAGATGGTACCACAGCTGAGGCTGTAGTGGTAAGAAAAAGTCACAAACATACACGATGAGCAATGCTCAGCGGATTTCTGTCCAAAGGTGTCACATCTTGCCATGAAAATTTGTATTGCGTAATAAAAAAAATGGTAATAGCAAAGAACAAACCTACAGAAAACTTATTATTAAACTTAGTTTAACAGAAGCAAGAAAGAAGTAAAGAAAGGTCAACTAATGTACACCAGATATTCTATAACTGTTTGATTTATTTTCTCTACAGACTACAGATTTGCTGACCCAGGCCATGACAGAGCTTTCTCAAACGCTGACCACAGACTACCGCACAGCGCAGGGAGACTACCAGAGGATCCAGTACATCCCCGTGTCTCAGGCAGGAGGCAACCTGTCCCAGCCGCAACACATTCAGCTGCAGGTGGTCCAGGTGGCTCCGGTAAGATCCAGGATCTGATATAGGACCAAGATTAATTCGTTTTTTTAAGCATTTATGCATCCCGGTAAAGCTGACTGAACATCTCAACAACATCCTTTTACTCAATCACAGTTATACACACGTAGGATGTAAAATAACAGTAGGGTTTAAACATTTCAGCAGGCAAACAGTTTTTTTATTTTCTGTTGTATCTTTAAGATTTTGTGCAATTTCTCTGTCTCCCAGGCTTCCTCTCCACATTCCCAGCACCCGACAGTAGATGTGAGCCAGCTGCATGACCCTCATGGCTACAGCCAGCACTCCATCCAGGTACAACACATCCAGGTCACCGAGCCCTCAGGCACTGGACAAGGTGCCACCCAGGTAAATCCTCGGTATACTGACTCTGAGGTTAGGTTGATAAGTAATTTATAACATGCAAGGACTTTATAACAAACTTTGTGAGCTCCATAATGTTAAACTTGATAACACAATAATTATATGAACAATCTCTTCGCTCTCTTTTAGGTCACAGGTCAGCCTCTTAGCCCCACCTCCCAGCAGCCCAGTCAGGAGCTGAGCCCCACCCAGATGACCCCTGTGACTTTAGCTCAGAGCCACACCCTGCAGACCAGCAGCACCCAGCAGCAGCAGCAGCAGCAACAACAACAACAACAGCAGCAGCAGCAGCAGCAGCAGCAGGGGACGGTGCAGCACACTTACATACCTGGGAACTGGAACTACAGAGGCTACCGTGAGTCACATACATGCTCCCATATAATCCAGTCGGAGTGTATGTGATGGCTCTGTACTGTATGATTGCACGTCAGGTTAATATGTGAACTTTTTACTGTTGCAGCGTCTGAGATCCAGATGATGGCTCTACCTCACACGCAGTATGTGATAGCTGAGGCCAGCACGCCTGTATCTGGAGTCAACAGCAACCAGGTGAAAACGGTGAGTGAATGCTGTCTGATAGATGGAGTTAAACTGAACCTGAACTGTTTGTGGAGCTAAAGACGTTCTCATCCCTGTCCTGCAGACACACTACGTCATCTCCGAGGGTCAGACTGAGCTGGAGACCAAACAGACTGTTCCTCAGACTACAACCCAGGCCCAAACTGAACATCTGGAGCAACAGCCGACCAATCAACAAGCCACCACGCAGTACATCATCACCACAACCACCAACGGCAGCGGCACTAGTGAAGTCCACATCACAAAACCGTGAACTGTACAGTGATGAACTCTGCAAACCCAGCGCAGACCCCGCAGACTGATCCTGCATGTAGACCTCAGCAGCTTGTACGCACTTGAATGAACAAACACATGTGATATATGCACATGGATACAGACTTGTGTACATACAGAGTTAAAATGGGGATGAATTGATGACCAGCACAGTTTTATGTGTCTGTAAAGTGTTGAGATATTGAATGAGGTGAGAAAATAAAGTTAGTCGAGAGAAAAATGCTTTGATTTTGAACAGAATATTTAAACAACAAAAGCTAAACTAAACACACACAAAACTGGAAAGTGTGGAATTTGTTTCAGAAAGATTTGAATTGAAACTGAGTCTGAAGTGGTGGAAAAGTTTTGTTGCTCAGTCCTTTTACAGGTTTGAGTGCCCATTTTACATATTTATTAAGTTGCAGACATTTCTTCAAGCAAAGTATTTGTAAATGAAAGTGTGGAAAGAAATTCTGAAGTGAAAACTGTGGAAAAATATTGTATAAAACTATTCTCAGTTGGCCTTATGTTTTTGCCCAATGCAAGTACCCAACACACCGTCTGTTATATTGTATGTTACCATGTTGTTGCTGATATCTGATCTGATATCTTTTTATTATTTATTGTCCTGATTTCCGTAAAATCTTTTGTGTTTTTTAAAGTGATATTCAGAAAAGCAAACATAATCATTTCAACTCGTCCAAGACTGGCTGCATGCTACCAAGGGCTTTGGGTGTCCGTTATGAATGTTTTACTTTGATTTAACGAGGATCACACAGTTCTCACAGATACAACAGAGCCAAAACTTGGGGATAATTTTATTTTTTAAAGTATTTAAATGCTCATTTTCACTAACTGGATGAACCAGAAAACTATTATTGAGGAGTAAGATTCATTGAAGTAAGTTTCAAGTCGGTTTCACCTCTGAGGTGTGATTGGATGTGTCAGAAATGTGCTTTTGTTACACCTGTAAGCACACCCAATAGTGATGTCACAGAGTTCTGCAGTACACCTGTACATCACTGCAACAAGACGAGGAGTTAAACCACTGGAGGTCAGAAAAAACAAGATTTTTGAAGGGTTTTATGTTACTTTAAAGAAGAATAGAACATGCATTTCTTTCCAAGACACTTAGGAGTAATATGTTCAGTACTGAGGTTATTTTTTAAACGAGAGCAACACAACAACCAGCAAACTGTCCAAACCCTACAAGTTGTTTTATTGAAGCTTGAAGCCAAATGCAAAATGTGTTTTCCTCATTAACTCTTTTGAAGGCAAATGACTAAACGTTAAAATATTTGGTTATAGCATCAAGTGGACTTGAAGGAACTCAACATGATACAGCATATTCTGCTGTATTAATCTGTTTACAAACCTACAAATATATTGCAAGTGCTTGGTTGGTACTTAAAAGGCAGCAAATAATTTAGGGTAAAAACCAGCAGGAGATACCTCAGCATGTCTCATATTTCCTTCACAGTAGTGTAAGAAAGAAGAATGTACCTCAGCAGGAAGAGTGCAAATCTTGTGATAACAAAAAATACCTGTCCTACTGAAGTGTCCATTAGCAAGTTAAAAAAGTACATAATGTCTTAGATTGTCATTAAGTACTTGTACAAAAAACTCCCCATGATACAGGTCAATGCACTGAATTAAGGCGGGTGTAAAATGCTATTAATGTGCCCATTATTTATATTGGTCTATGGCGATGGACATGTACAAAGTATAGTATAAATATGAGAGTTTGATCACGTACAGCGATTCCTATTGTTGCAGGTGATTTTGTCATTTTGTCCTTGTGTTGAGAAATTAAATTCTTTTATATATGTACATTGTGTTTCCTGCTCACTTCAATTATGAACGTGTTGAACTCGAGACAAATGGAGCCCAAACTATTTCACAAGGTCTTCTGAGGTTAATTGGAGCTGGATTTTGTCTGGATGTCATTCTCGTTCTCAGTGCTAGGTGGCAGCATGGCCTCAGAAGACAGAAACAAGTTCTACAGCATCTTAAAAAAACTGTGATAGTTAAACATTACAACTCAGACAGACAGTGCTAACCTCAATTATGTCTGGGCTGTGTTCCATTTGTAAACCTCTCTCTGGTTTGGGTAAATTTAATGCCATTCACATTCCAGCAGGTTGCTCACATGCTGCGATCTATTAATAGCTCAGCGTGAGTGGGTAACAGTGATTTAGAAGAAAAGAAGTGACTGCTGGAGAGGTTGCTGTTGGCTCACCGTATACCTGGGCGGAGCTGGAATTGTCCTCCACACAATTGTGATCAGTACGTTTAACACATTCCTGCGAGGATGGAATGTGGGAAAAGGAAAAAGCCACTACCTAGATAAAACTATCTTCCAGTTGAACCAGTTCAACAAGCTTGTCATGTAGAACTAAACACATTTTTAACAGGTGTATGTTGGTCAAGTAAATGCTCTGCTGCATTTTCAACTAGCATGTCTGTGTCTGTGTTGCTCCCATGCCTCGGTTGACAGTCCTCTACCCCAGAAGTCAAGGAGTTAGGGGACAGGGAGAGAGAGGGGGTTGGGACAGGGCCTGTAAATGGATGGACGGGGAGGGAGAACCTGCTGAGAGGCGAGAACTGAAGAGGTAGGTAGACCTGCGTGTCTTTCAACAACTGGCCTTTCATTTGAATCAGCTTTTGAGAGACAGGTCTCTGATTACCTGCTGTTACAGGGAGGAGAAGCCTGTGTGAAATGATAGTCCTGGTACACTTCTCGGCTCAGACTATGTTGACAGCAAATGTTTTTCTGATCCATTAGGCAGATATCTGTCAGCGTGACACTCCTCTGGCTTCTCGTGTAACTGCTTACCATTATACATGTGCTAAAAGACCTGAAGTCAAAAATACAGTACTGTGCTGGTTTAGGGATTTGACTCAGCTGGACAACAACAGCTGGCCCATCACTGTAAATACATGTTGTGTGGCAAAGCATTGTCCCCAAAAACGTGATTTTAAAGTCCAGTCTGGATCCCAGGATTTCCAAAGATATCAACTTGTATGAAAGGCGAAGCACAAGAAATCTGTAACTTTCCATCTCATGCCATGTGTTAAAAACTTAAATGTTCTAGCTCATCCTAATTAAAGGGAAAATTCACACAATTCATACAGTTTTTCACAAAAGACTAATAATACAGTGTGCTAATCTTAGCTAATTGTCTGAAATGTATGTCCTGTCTCCTTTTCCTTCCCATTTAACAATGGTAAAACATTTAATTCCCAATAAACTCATCAATCTGTTGCGTTACCGGTTTGCTGTCTATCTTCTCTGTTACCTCATTACTCCAGCGGTTCAAAGCAAACACAAGCTGTTCGTCAGCCACAACAAACATCTTGGTCACAGACTCTGAGGACACTTGGACCCTTGAAAGGCTGGTACAGTTTTGCTCTAGTGGGTGTAGTGTGGTCGGTGTGCCAGGTGGAGGCGCCGCTGCACCCCTCTCAGGGTGATGTGTGCTGGAGGCTCCTGTTGGTGTGTCTGCTGTGGATGGTTCTGGGAGTTTGCGTCTTGGCCCTGAAGTGCCGCCTGCGGCCAGGACAGAGCCGGGTGAGTGCATGAACTGAATCTCCCTTGACCCTGTTGGTGTATATAATCATGTTATGTTTATTCAGTGATTTTGTTCCAATTAAAGGTGGAGCCTCCACTGAGGATACAGCAGGAAGTTGTGACTGAAAACAGGAATAGCCAGTATTCATGGTGAGACATTGTTTTACAGTCATTTCTCTTTTTATTTGATATCAAAATATATATAAATAACACCTTATAGGCCAGATGTTACTTCTGTCTTCACCGCATGTATCTGATGCAAGTGAGCCCCAAGTTGGCCAACACTTTACAGCGTAAAGCAGCTACTACAGATGTCCATTTAAAAATCTGCTATCCATATTTTAGGAAAAACATTTCAAGGCATCCAGAGGAACCACATGTCACCTGTTTGCTATAAACTGTTTTTATTTCACTTTTTATAAAATATCAGTACATCTGTAGGGATGATCACATTTATTTGTTGCTTTATTTTGCCAAAAGTTATTTTTTTAAATGTTTCAAGATGACAAAAATATCATCCTGGTAAAAAAATCTAAGTTTTATATAAAAAAATTCAGAATCTTTTCAAGCAAATCCTTACACATGGTCACTGTCTTTCTCCAGGATGTCCCAGTTGAGGAGTCACAGCCACGACGTTCCTCTGGCCCTCGCCCTGGCTGACAGCCTGCTGCTGTGTGTGCTTCAGGAGCCCCTGTTGGACCCCAGCGTGCCCCACATAAAGGCCCTCCTCGCCAGACTGGAGGTAAGAGGCAGGAAACCAGCTTAAGGAAGTAAAATACCCTTTCTCTCCACCACACACAGTAGCCTCCAGCAATACCCGTCATCTCCCGTGTTTTCAGTCGCTCTTTGCATGTAGATCAGTGTGAAGTCTTTGTCGGTGATATTACAGAGATCAGACCTTGCACTCAGGCATACACACATATTTTAGCCTGAGGCAACACATACACCATCACTGAGCTGCTGTCGTCTGCACTCTGAATTAACCAGATTGTCAGAGGAGATAATTTTGAATGTGTTGTCTCTTTGTGTTGTATTGTATGTAATTCCTGTCTGCGTTTTAGCACACACAATGATAGCAGTGGCAGTCAGCCTGTCAGTCTTTTATTTTATAATATTTTAAGTATTGAATGGATTTCCAAGAAATCTGAAGCTGACCAGAGCATGAATCTTGAACTCCTCTTTGATTTTTGACTTAATTCTAACTGCATGAGCAAGTCAACTGTATATCACAGTAGTTGATGAAAAAACATCTCCAGGTCTAATTTTCCAAAAATCAGCTGTAACTCACTGTTAGCCACTGTCATACTGGGCCTTTCCTTCTGGCACCAGCCTCGGGCTAAACTTGAACTCTTTTGCCATGAGCATTACAGCATCAAAAGGCCAACAGCAAAGCTATAAACTTTTTGTCTTGTTTAAAGGTCCAGTGTGTAACGTTTAGGAGGATCTATTGGCAGAAATGGAATATAATATTCATAGGTATGTTTTCATTAGTGTGTAATCAGTTGAAAATACAAATCCAAAATCCAAAATGTATCTTTGGACAGTTGCATGTGTAGAACAGATGTGTCAATAGAGGATGCATATAAAAAGCAACAAGTAGATTCCTTTGCACTGTCCTCATCTCTTAAAGTTTTATATGACAGCATTATGCACAAATAAATTAAGACATGACTTTTGGTGGATGTATTTATGTATGTGGATTAAGTCCTGCACAGCCACATGTTGCATACACTTCGCAGAGGTAGTTTAAAGTCACTTTAACAAAACTAAACCCAGTCCTCTCTTTTTCACTGTAGTCAGTGTCTCACACACTTGAGAAGGCTGATGCTGGGTCAGAGGGGACATTGGAGGAGACGGACCGAGACTCTCAACTGACAGACAAAGTGAAGCTCATCCGTAACTTCGTGCAGCAGAGGTGAGGTTCAACATCTAGTGTACGTGAAATTTGCTTTCCTGGAAACACAAACTCACACACTCCTCTCTGATAGGATGAGGTCACTGTGTCGGCTCGTCCAGGTGCAGGAGGATTTTGAAGCCAGTGTTAAGGACATACTGGAGGGCGTAGATGGCCTCTGGGCTCAGCTGGAGGAGCTGCACACCGGAGTCACGCTCACCAAAGAGGGGAGCCGGAGCCACAGAGACCTGGCCTCGGCCCAGACAGACGCAGCGGTAAGCAGGGTTTTTAAAGTGCTGGATTTGTTTAGCTTTCAGTTAATCTGAACTACTTTTTAGTTACGACTAAGAAATATGTTTTTGTCGGGTTTCCAAAGTTAAGTTGCGTCTACAACAACAACAGTTGTCTTCTTAGAACCATGAATCTTGGTGATTGCGTTAACATTTGCCATGTCGCTGCCTTTGAGTGTTGTTTGTAATACTCCTACGTGTTTGGCAAAGGCTTTGTTCGCAGTCTTGGGTCACTACAGGAACAGGCTTCAGTGCTGCCAGACTCGTCTGGAGGACAGCACACAACTGCTGCAGGTACACTTCTCCTCATGCAATAAAAATCCACTTTTCATATTTTCTGCTGTCTTCACTGAGAAAACCCGTCTACTCTGTTCCACAGGAGCTAACCTGGAGTCACACTCATATAAGCAACAGTGTGAGCAGCAGCAGTGAGTCAGTTTGGCCGGAGCTGTTGCTTCAGTCCAACATTGAGCAGGTACACTAAACTCTGGCCAGTAGACAAACAGCAGAATGTTGTTTATAGATTTAGAAATCCAACAGGACTAAAAACTCCTCTCTCTTTGCAGTTTGACAAGGTGCAGGAGAGTTTCCTCTCCCTGGAACAACAGACCTCAACGTTCCAGGCCCACCTGGAGGGACTTGGAAAGGAGAATCAGGAAGGACACGCAGGGCCCCTCGGTTATGCTAACGGGGCCCATTCATGCCCAGTGTCCCCACAGAGTTCCCCACATCTCCACAGTGGACGCACAAGCAGTGTGTCACTGGAGCACCGTAACTCGACCTCTGCATCCGTATCTGTGTCCTCAGCAGATGCAGACTCGGACACAGAAGCAGACGCTCCTCTGTCACTGTGTGAGAGGTCGGCACTGCAGTTAACCTCCACTGTCGGACGCCTGCGTAAATCTGGAAGGAAGAAGTGACTTTTATTGGACTTTAGACATTTTGTAAATAGAATACAAGAAGAATACAAGAGAGAATATTTTCAAATGTTGATCATTTGCTGATTATTTATTGCTTCCTGTGATTGCATTACTGTGTTTTACTACTAAGCTTTAACTTTTCATTTCAAGGACTGCATGGCTGGTTTTTAAAGCTTGCAAGTGCATCTTTTTAAATTCAGTGAAACACAAGGGGGCACACTTTCACCAGTTATTTCAGGCACAAACAGACAGCACAAATTATACATTGTACAGTCATCTCAGATCTCTGTCTGCAATGACAGGCCGTGGCCCTGATCTTTTCCTTTCAATCAACTTTATAGGAGGAAAGGGATGAACAGGCTCCTAAAACATATGGCCCATAAATGTGTTTCTTTAAGATCAGAACAGTCAGTCAACTTGTGTCTGAAGAATGACATTTTTAGAGTAAGTTAGAGAGTTAATTTCACCAACCTCCTTTTTGCACTTGAAAATTATAATGTAATGTTTTTATTTATTTTTTATTATTGTACTACTTATAAAACATATCCAATGTCTGTTACAACTCTTTTAACAAGTGTACATTTATCAACGACTGCTTAGTGAATATGTTCTTCTAAGGTGCAGGAGGAACAGGTTACAGGTTAAGAAGTCCCAGACTTTTTCTCTTTTTCACAACTATTTTTCGTTCCGTCTCTCTCTATCAGACTCTGCGATGACTTGAGCCCTTCAAAGCAGGGATTTTAGGTTCAGGGGCGGGGGGGGGGGAGGAAGGTAGAAGGGGGCAGTGGAGGTCAACGCCGGAAGCGTTTCTGTTATTACTAAAAACTGAGCAGTCCTCTAGACCTTTTTGAAAGACATGAATGTCTTTGATCCAAATTCAATTACCCTACAGCTTCAACACTGATAGCATGGAAGTCGACATAGTATTCTCCACCAGATTCCCGACTTTTCTTACCAGAGCAAACAGGATTTCTGATGAGAATCAATTCATTCATGGCCGCTGTTAAGTGCTAATTGTAGGGAGTCAGTACAGTATGCATGACGTGGATGTCACTTGACCATGGACTTGCCTACCATCTGCCAGATCCTGCATCTGTCTGATTCACTCACACTGGGTCAGTGATTGGGAGAGGTGGGGCTGACCCCAAGGGGGATCTGGGATGAAAGGAATGTAAGCTGAACACTGCAGGATCCGAGCTGTCACAACACCAAAGACACAAACACACCATGTCTGGATGGATGGAGGGATGTAAAGACTGTGGGAGGAGAGATGTTGTGTGTTTGGTTATTTGAAGTTAGTGACAAGAGCTTTGAATAAAAAAAAATTAAAAAAAATGTTATGACATGCCGCATGAATATGTAACATTTTCCACGAATCAGTCCTGAATACACAGAACATAACGGTCTTGGATGCTTGCTTACAATAACAATGACCACATTTGCTTTGAGGTCCAACAGTCAAAAGACAACAACAGAGGTTTTTGAATTGATTTATGAAGTGCTTTTATAAATGACTGGGGGGGGGTTGATTCCATTAGATGTGAATTAAAAACAGTGCTTCAAATACAAAACAAGCCCTGCTCTACAAGCCAGTGGGGAGCATCCCGGTCCTGTCCAGATGAACTCATGCCTCACATTGCTGGCATGTGATGTCATAGCCAGCAGAGGGACGGTGTCTGGGAGAGCAGAGGGCACCGGCTATCTGCTCACCGAGAATGTAAGAGTGAGCTAATGAAATTACCACAGGCTTTGTTTAGTTACACTAAAAAGTTGATGACTAGCTTCCTCACGGGCCACTCCAGTCCTGGAGGAGAGGCTATTTCAAAGCTAGCTCAAGTGTGTGTTGTTTCAGAAAATATGGTTCATGGCAGAGGTCAATCCCTCGCCTTATCCTGACAATTACTCAGGATCGGGTTTCACTGGCGTACACATAGCACACATTTGTGCTGATCGCTCCTCTGATGGCACTGCAAATCACCGTACAGTAGTATGGACGGCTGCTATCTGATATAAACAAACTCGAGACTTGTCACAAAACCTTCTTGAGAGCACAGTTAAATAAACCAGCTTAAACTCTCATTAAGATTCGAAATTGCGTTTTCCTGAAAGGGCTAAATTTTATACAACAAAATGACGAGTAGGAAGTTAGTATGTGGACAAATAAATATCAGAATAACAGAATAAACACACACTGTGTCACCAAATAAAGGCAAGAACAACTAAGCTGGCTTTAACAATGATGAATGATGTTTTACACAGGGGTGTGTGTGTCTGTGTGTGTGTGTGTGTGTGTGTGTGTGTGTGAACGGTGGGGGTCCTGTTAACCTTTTAACTTAATGGCAGTGACATTTTCCAGGTTGAGAAACGGCAACAGCGCCATCAAAAAGGCTGCGTGTCTTCATCCAATGATCTGAGGAGTGTGACAATGATATCCCTCTGATCATACAGCAGGTAAAGGGAAAGCAGCACCGTAAATGCTTCAAAGCATATGTTTGTAAAACATCTTACAATCTTACAAAGCGATGTGGTTATAATTAGAAAAGGGCTTGGGCTGTAAAGTCACTCCATTAGCAGTTGTTGTTGTTTTTAGGACTCAATAAGGATAAAAATGACTTGGTAAGATGGATATTTTGTGTAGTGGAGCAGCCACATGCCACAAGTTGTGGCCTTAGCAGGTTCTATTTCGACACTATCACAATAAATAAAACTAATCTTTAACATTTTTATTAATGTGTACATTTATATTTGGTTTGAATTTATTGGTTTTGTGGGGCTGTGATATCTAAATACAGGAACAATATCATCCCGACTTTTGATACATATTCACCAGATACTTAACAAACAAATAAGATGTTTGTGTCAGTGACTGCCATTTAGGTTTTTCCTCTATTTTTAAGACACTATTTTCCTTCATTAAACATGTTTATGCCAAACCCGAACAAACATTTCTGTGGGCGAGCATCCGCTCAACATTATATATACATAAAACTATTGAATGGCTGGAGGCTTAATGTGTATTTTTCTTTATTTTTGATTATAGCCGTGCTGGCCTGGAAGTCGAATTTAAAGAAGCAAAAGCTGAATCACAAACCGCTTGCATGGCTTCTATTTAAGGGCTGGACACAGATAACGGAGGGCCATGCCACTTTTAACCAGAGGCTGTTGGAAACGGAACGGACAGCTGCACATTGAGACAAAACATCAAAAACACCAGCCACAGATGTACGCAATTAGCAACATGGTAGACATTTGGGGAGCAAAGGTCCATAAACTCGCAACTTATTATGGTTGATCTAACATGGCTGGAGGGAAGCCTAAACTCAACAACATTAATGGGCTTTCAGTTTGGGCTGAGACATTCCACCATCCAGAATCTAATGTCGACGAAGGCTTAACTCCTCCTCAAATCTTCCTCAAACCTTTAATTTCAGTTTTCTATATAAATCTTACTCCATTCAGGGCATGCGTGTATACAGTATGTGTGTATATGTGTGTGTGCTGGTGAGTGTAAGTGAGAGAGTGACACAAATGGGCTCAGCATGTTTCCAATCATTAGGAAACTCTAAGCTTCCTGTTTGTGTAAATATTTTCTTATTTTGTTTTCCAAGAGAGCGGGGTAGAATAATCAAGCCTGACCTCTCTGCCCTCCTGTTTCCTACTTGTCACGTGGACGCGGCTCACCTCGACACTGCTGAGACCAGAAGTGGGAGCCTGTTGTGACCCGTCACTGGCTGGTGGGAGAGGTTAGTCAGGAATGGATGGATTCTCCAAAAGGTCATGAGCAAACAGCCATTGATACCAATGGGTAACAGCTGTGGCGCCAGCTTAAACTCAGCATAGTCATGCAAAGACAAAAAGAGCTTGGGACTAATTTTCTCAGCTCAGTCAGAGACACTTACGTCAAGAAATGTATCATTGATAGCAAATGTTTCTGCAGTTTAATTTGGCAGAAATGGCTCTGCTGTTTGAGCTCTCAAGCAATCTGAGCCTCTGAGATATCGCTCATGCAGAATACCTCAGATCAACACGCAGCAGGACAAATCAAACCAAAGGTACATGCACCTGAAAGCTGTGTGCAACTGCAGCAAGTACAATTTTAATTTGAAATATTTAAAAAATGAGGTAAAATTATCAACTGAAAGCAAAGAAATAACAGTTTTATTACATTACTGACGGTGTTAATTTGTTGGAAGAAAGTAAACCTGCCTTTCCTTGTTTCTTATGATAGGGGTGGACTGTTGTTTGGTGTATGAATTCAACAGGTGGTTCTTTTAAAGTTGAACCATAAAGTTGGTCTGTGATGGATGTTTACACCTGTTCAGCTTTGTTTTCTCTTTCAAATGAGTTTTTCTAACCGATATGTTTGTGTGAAACCTGCACGACTTTCTGACTTCTTATATTTCTTGTCCTGTCACTTCCTTTTAGAGCTACATTCAACAACTACGAACATAAGATCCAAGTTATTATAAACTGGAATTTTGCAACATTCTCCACCATGATCCTCAACCAGCTTCTCAAACACTGTATTTTGGCTTCCTCTCACTCTGTCCCTTCACCTCTCAAAGCTTGAACTTGTCTCTTCAGGCCTCAGTATGAGGCACCGATGTGTGAAGCAGCTCTCTGAGGAAAGGCTAAACAAACAGGCTGGCCCAGGCACAAAGAGTCCGCCACTCAGAGACATGTGGCAGCAAAACCCTCTCAATCCATGTCCCCCCCCCCAGCCACAACTCTGAACCCCTCACACTCCTACCAGAGCCACACAAACCCTTCCACATACCCTGAGCTTGGAGCCAAGAGAAGGAAAGATGGAGGAGGAGGGGGAGCAAATTCTGATTCCTATTCACCGAATGTCACCACCTCACAAAGGGGACCGCATGACACTGCCACTAAATCAGAGTTAATGGACTCCTTTCTCAGTCCTGCGAACATGACAGGGGGCGTGCGTGTGAGAGTAAGGGGGTGTGGGAGAAGAACAGGGGGCTGGTGAGGGTGCCTGTTTGCCCCATTGAAGGGGCACATGGGCCAATGAGCCTTGTGTGATATAGTGAGAGCAGATTGGCGAGGGAAGTGTGTTTTCCAGGGGCATGAACAGCTCTCCTAATGGAAAGCCCCGTGTCTCATTCAACACTTATTTGTTTTGAGCAGCCCATAATTCAGAGGATATACTGACTTTCTCTAAATTGTTAGTGATTTAAAAAAGGTGAATGTTAATCATATGGTTTGTTTGACTCTTCTGTCACGACTCTTTCGGCACAGCTGATTTGTGTGTAAGAAGCAAAACAACATAACATCAATCACGGGCCTCGTTAACAGTTGTACGAACGCTACACAAACCATGTTGGCGTGTAGGCAATCCATCAAACTCCTAAAGTGAAGGTGCGGTGAACACCATCCATGGGGCTTGTGGGGCGATTGTCGATTTGCATGTGAACACTTATTTGACAATGAGGAGCCAGACTGGGGGACAGCAATTTCGGAGCCGTTTGTTATCTTCCCTACAGGGCAGAACCTAATACAAGCAACCCCTCCCACACTCAAAGAGCGCAGCTTGGAGGCCGGGGCAGAGATGAGTGAAGATGGCATTGGTGTCACTTGGCAGGCATTCATAGCCGCCGCTACCCCCGTCTTCAGCTACGCAGGGGAGACGCGGAGAGACAGAGGCGGAGAGACACGGAGCCCCAGGTACCGACCTCATTAGCAGATAAAAGCAACCTTTCCCCGTGACCCCTGACCCCGGAGGTTGCCATGGAGCCTTCCAGTCGAGGCATAGATGGAGCACGCTGGGATTGCTCCCAGCAGGGTAGAGTGAATATGGGCTGCTGTGAGAATTATTAAGACCCCCCCCCCCCACCCACTCCTCTCTCAAACACAAATCCATATTCGTCCACTTCATGCTCTTCTGAACTCACTTCTTGATGTTGTGCCGGAGCTCATGTGCTGCTCTCCCTCGCTTCCTGCTTTGTTTCTGTTCAGATGTCCTAATACCAGTCAAACAGTTAAGCTCATTACATCGCAGAGTTCAGCTTTGATGTGCAGGGAGGAAAAAGTGTGATCGTTTACATAAGAACGAAAAGGAAAAGACTACCCGCAACTTTTTTCTCTGCCAGTTTCTACTCTGCAAAGTGGCCATGTACGGTGTTTGTTTTCAAGGCTTTGCTGCGTTGCATCATTGATGCTGTTTGTTCTTGTTAGTTCTTAAGTTGCACAACCAGTTTAATTTGTTTAAATTTACATATATTGTATTCAGTTCTGAACCAACAAGAGATTGTGCATCTGCCCTGTTCATGACTTGTTTTGGATTATTTGCATTTCTGGGTTAAGAGGTCTTTTTGTGATGTGTCTG